TATATTTATTATAAAAATGTATTATATTATAAAAATGTATTATAAAGCTCTTCCTAAGAATTGTAAACAATATTAGATTTTACCTGATTTAAGTGATTAGCCACGAGTTAAATGCTCACTAAACTTTAGCGTAGCTCACTCAGCAGTCACTATGGCTGCTGCATTGCCTACAGGCAGCAGGAGGCGTCAGCAGTGCTGCTGCTGTTGCTGCTGTTTTTGTGGCTGTTGTTGTCGTTGCTGACAGGAAGCATTTTGCATGAAATGCCCATAAAAATGATATGCACATCAACACTGCCTGATATCAATGGTGCGATAAGCGCGAGAATTTGTTAACTTCGTTGCGATGCGACTGCTGTCAGACTGTGCGCTCTATGCCGCTAATTGAGGCATGTTTAGATCGAGGACATTTACAGTGTGTGCGTGTGCTGTCAGTTAATCAAGACGAAACTGCGACGCCTGATGCCTGATGGCTGACTTTGTTGTTGACTAACTACATTTGGCTAGACATTTAATTTGGTTGTGCAGCTAAAAGGTTGCCATCACTCACAGACACACACTCGCACACTCTCACATACGCAAGCACGCTCATTCAGTCATATGTCATTATGGCATTGACTTTTGTCTCATTTTTGGCTTTCACATATTAATTCCCAGTTGTCATATGTCAGGCATGCCCCTAATAATACGAGCTGATGCGTACGCTATGATTACTGTCAGCGACAGCCACTCAGACACTATGAATAAGCACTTATGGCACTCACTGGCATATCCTTGTGGGCTTATCCTCAGCGACTTAAGGTGCCCCGCAGCGCAGCTCTCTGCCTGTCGCCCTCTCGCTCGCTCTTAGCCTGTGGCAACAACTTTGACTGCGCGACAATTTATCACAGCCAATTTAACCACTTAAGTGTGAAATACGCTGCCGGAGTAAAAGTATACTATGCATATGCATTCATTCGTTACATAAATACACACGCACACACATATATAAATATTAAAAAATATGTAAAGTTACATTTTGCAGGCACTGTGCCGATGGCCTGCAGCGACGTTCTGAATTCAACTGTAAATTGCCACAGCGCTGACCACTCAATATGCGTGTGTGTGAGTGTGTGAGGGGGTGTGCCGTTCTCTGTGTGTGTGTGTGTGTGTATCGGTATATTTCTGCTCGTGGCATTTATTTGTTTACAATCTGTTTGCGAAAAGCTGGCGCAAGGCTTAAAAATCTGCATTTGCATTTTAACAGGCAATGCCATTGTTATGCGTGTGTTTGTGTGTGTGTGTGTGCGTGTGTGTGGCATTTGTATTCATTGAAAAGACAGTTGCAACTATAGCCAATTGATTTTTATGCAAATTGACACTTTAAGCATTTCACTTTGGCAAATCCGCTTTATAAATTCGATTTGATAGCTAGAGTTATTGCCGCAGCGCACATGGCGTATGCTTAATATATTTAATTAGTTTTCTATGATCAATTGAACTAATTGCAAGCACAGAGTCACCGTTAATATTTATAATATTATTCAATTTAAATATAATATTAAAACAAGAATTTTTAATTTTAAAAACGTGAACTGACTATGAAATAAAAATATATTTTTAATGGCAATATTTTCATATATTTTTAATTAAAGTATAAGTCCATTTCAAAATGCTTTCAATTAATTTATTTAATTTTCTCTAAAGATTTATTTATGTGTTTATTATATATTTCTCTATTTATTGAATTACCTATATTTTTATT